AAAAATATTGGAAATATAATGTTTTGTCTGCAGGCACTGTGTGTGACTTCCGGCTGAGCTACGGCAGAGTTCTTAACCGACGCAGCAAGATCATCGCTGTCAACAGAGATAAATCGCAGCTGCTGAAAAACTCAGATATGTTCTGGAAACCGACTGTGGCAATTCAGGGTATGTTCACACGCTGCTGCCGTGATGCGTCATCATTATACAACGAATGTGTCATCAGATAGCTGGTGATCTATGAAGGATTTTCCATAAAAAAAAAATACATTTTCGTCACTGGCTTCATTTGTGGTAACTGTGTTACTAACACTAACCCCAGTATGACATTTATTATTCCAACACTTTGTGACTTTTAACACACACCTCTTACTAATAATTTATACTGAAGCTTTGGACCAAATGGCAAATACATCAGTTAAACTGTTAGAGTCTTATGTCAATTTTGCTCCATTTTAGGTGATGCTGGTTCTTTGCTAATGAAGCTTGCCAAAGGACTAAAGGGCTATCGCTGTCCAGAGGAATGGCCTCAGAGCCTCAAAGCAGGAGATGTAACCAAAGAGGATAAAAACAGGTGAGCACAGGTGATGATCCCTGTTCTCTGTGAGTGAGTCATCATGCAATGTTAAAACATCTCTTGAAAACCTCTGTTCTATTATTAAATGGCATGTCCTGATTTGATGCTCAACAACAAGAAATCAAAGAAAATCTCATCAATAATTCTAATGTTAATGCAACTACTAATCTGTAACTACAAAATCATCTCTCCACATAAACTAGAGTACTTTTATTTCAGGGCTAAAGCTGACGAGAAGACCGACCACCACTTAAATCCCTTGAAAGTCCTCCACTGTGTGGATGAGCTGATGTCAGAGGACAGCATCATTGTTGCCGATGGGGGGGATTTTGTTGGAAGTGCTGCTTACATAATGAGACCAAGAGGACCTATGCGGTGGCTGGATCCAGGTTAGAACTCTTTGGCAAATCAACAACTGATGTTTGGTTATTTAAAATGTGAGTGGAGAGGGCATTTCATTTTAGGACTATAGAACAAGAACCAATCATTTCAAGTCACCTTATTGACTTCAGTTGTTGGCTTTTTTGTCACACACAAAGAGGTTAAAATCTCAGGTGTGCGCTTGTTGTCACAACTTATGTCTTTACTACAGCAATATGTTCTGGTGTTACTTGCGCTTTCTTCGCAGTCATAATGACATAACTCCACTGTTCCTTGTCCCTGCAGGAGCCTTCGGGACCCTGGGTGTTGGAGGAGGATTTGCCTTAGGGGCAAAACTGTGCCGACCTGAATCTGAGGTAAAATATTAAATCAGTCATTTCTAGTACTTTGCCTAATAATCTAATAAGCCATTTTCACACTTTGTGAATAAAATGCTACTCTGTGTGCTTTTCAGGTGTGGATAGTGTATGGTGACGGCTCTTTGGGATACAGTGTTGCAGAGTTTGACACCTTCACTAGACACAAGGTAAAATCACTTATCAAATATATTCACATTATATATTTATAAGCAACTCACTAAACCATGATAAATGTGCAATACTAGAAGAGTTGTTCCATTTTAGAATTAAGTAAAACAAAAGTTAAATGCATTTCAAATATTTATAAAAATATAAGAAGTGAGAATTCACAATAAAAAAAGAAAATAACAATAACATGTATATATAAATGAATAATGAAGGTGTAAATTGTCCTGCCTCAACAGCTGTAATGGAGTGGAGTAGATGTCAATCAAGTACAGTCAGCAGATACAGATTTTCACAGTTTTTAATTGTTTGCCCCTAATCTACATTTGCATTTGATTTTGCAGACACCAGTTCTAGCTTTGGTGGGAAATGATGCATGTTGGAGTCAGATAGCCAGAGAGCAGGTTCCCATACTGGGCAGCAACGTGGCATGTGGCCTTGCATTTACAGGTAAAGAATGCTTTGTGACTAATGTGATACAGGTTAAATCCCACACTGAATAAAATACATGTATTTATAACAACTGGGCAGCTATTAACCGACGACGATATTTTCTTCTCCTGTTTTGCAGATTATCATACAGTTGCGGATGGCTTCGGTGGTAAGGGCTACCTTGTGGGGCGTGAGGATGAGGACAGACTCAGCGACATCATCAGACAGGCTCAGAGGGAGACCCGGGAGGGCAGGGCGACACTCCTCAATGTTCTCATAGGGAAGACCGACTTTAGAGAGGGCTCTATCTCCGTTTAGAGCCGCTGTGATTTCTGAAAACTTCTGCCTTTACCTTTGGCTCAACATCGACTCTAATATCAGGCTCCGAGAGAGGATGAACACACTGCTGGATACCAGACCTATGCTAATCCTTTGTGCCCTTAAAGCCATATTTCTCTTTGGTATGAGGAAATTACTTTACAGTTCGCTGATCACCTAAAAGAGTTCAACATCCATCACTTACTTCCGTCATCAGACCAGATTAAAATCTAGCTAGACATCTGCTAACACCAGAAACATGACTCTGTTGGTGACTGTTTCTAAACGTGCAGCTTTATTATTAACTATTAAGTGAAACACCACAGCTCCAGATCTGCCAGCCTAGAAACTACATATTAAGGTGTATAACTTTCAGGTAAATGTTGAGCAATTACGGAAGATTGCTGCATTTGGAGAAGGGAAACAAAAAGTAAGAATTTCTTACGTTAAGGGATTTTACCTCTACAGGGGCTCTGGGTTAGATTTCTCACCTTTAAACAGCCTATTATAAGTTTCTTGCAAATAAACCAGTTACTTCTTGTGTGAGAGAGAGTTTTGGTTAATGTTATCAAATGTGACCACTTTGCCTTTTCTCCTGTTGTCAAACGAACATGGAGCCTTTTTATGAGGAGACTTTACACCTGTAATATTCTTTATTGGTTGCTGATTTGAGATAAAAAATTGTTAAATGAAAAAATATTTTTGAATGTCAATGATTGACAAATAATATGCCTTTTAATGTTTGATTGTGTCTTGGAATACATTGATATATGTAGATTGAACATGTATTTGCTGAATCAGTTATGCATTTGAATGATATTTAATACTAACTAGTATGCATTGATGTGGGCTGTCATTTTAAATATGCCTTTACACAATATGTATTGCACTATAATTATAACTTATTTACTCACCAGGTGAACGTGTGTGGATCATCTCACTCCAATATAAATAAAGGTTTTATTTGGCATTTTGAGGGACGTATGTCAAATGTTTTCGATCATACAATGTTAATTTTGGTTGATCCTCAAATAAATGGAATAAAAAGGAAGATATGAGTGGGCTTTTAATGTTCTGAGGCTGCACACTGGCAGTTTTACAGATTACTATGTAGTTATCTAATACATCTTTTGATTTATCACATCCAACTGTGACCATAAACTAACCTTCTACATCCCTAAATCTAGTCTTTATACTTCCTAATCTACCAGCCACCCAAATGTTCATTGTTTAGTTTAAAGTGTTGCTTACCTCCAGAAATTGAGTTTTGGCAAACTGCTTGCCATTTAACTTAAAATAGTTTTGCCTCATAACTCTACTAACTCACATCTGTAAAGATTTCAGGAAATTATACTTTCACACCACTCGGATCCTGTGCAAAATACACACTACAGCTCTGTTTATTTGTGTTAACACCTTGGAAATGTAGCTGCAAATCTGGTAAGAGCTGTAACATAAAGGTCTGTATGTTATAAATGTTGAACCTTCTATTGCTGCCAAGGTCTCTATTTGTAGATAGTAAAGAGCATTTCTGCTAAATAGCATAACTAATACTCTGTCTACATGCTCTATATTATTGGAATTTCTACAAAGCAAAGGATAAAAGTGAACTCAGGCAACCTGCACCTTAACCATACAAGGTTGTCCCACACATATATATGTACTAATGGACTATTTGTACCCAATTTCGAGTATTTATGGAACGCTAAGATCTGCTAAGTATTAGAAAATACTTGAATGGATTTTTTTTTTAAACATTTGAAAAAACAAACAACCCAGTGTATGGATTTTTTGAGAGGTTATGTATATTATTTACATTTAAAGAAAATGCAGTTTTTAATTTCAACAGGAGATGGCAGACTTGTAGCAGTTTCCATGTGGTAGTCGACACTGACGTGTTATTGTTAAGCATAAGTCATGAGAAAGGTAGACACAAATGTATCAGAGGAAAACAGGTCACCAAAAGGGCTGCTGCTAGGTCTAGTAAAATGTGCTAGCTTAACCTCAAAACTGTTATGAGTTGTTCCATAAGAATGTATTTCATTATTGTTATGAAAGTCCCCTTTTCCAAATGCAATGAGTACACATGAGCATGTGTACTACTGAATGTCCTGACGTTTTTCATGTATCAATTGTACAATAATTGGGCTAACCCAAAGACAGACATTACACATTTAATTCTGAAGATTTCTGGATGTAACACCTGTGTACTAAAAAGTGCAAACTAACATGCCACTGTATTCAAGGGTTTTAATCTGCACAATACGTTATTAGAGTAGCAAAGTAGGTTTATTTTGTAAACACTGTACATCATACTGTGTGTATGATGTACTGTAAATTGTTGTCTGGCTTTTGCTGCGTTCAAGTGCTCTTTCTAAATCTGCTCTTCGTAGCTTTGACGTTGTAAATACATAGCAGGTAAACGAAGTAAAACATAAAGGTGTAATGCAAGAATGAGTTCTAAAACTATAATATGTAAATGAACGCGTGAATATAAATAACACAAAGGAATGCTATATTTACAAACTGCATCACGTTTACAAGCAAAATGTCCTGAGATAAGCTTAATCTTCACATACATTGCATGGAAATCGCGTCTCTTTCTGTCACATAACTGATATCTATTTTAATGAAGTTTTACTGATACAAGTATGCTTTGATGTGGTCTTTTTCCCACCCTGCAGGCAGGACGCAGCAAGAGAAACACCAAGACAAAAAGCTAAACTCAGTTATTCGTACAGGCCTTGAAGGCATCATAAGACCGCAGGCGGTGACTCCAGCAGCTCCGCTAAACTTAAACATAGATCGTCACTGTAGCAGCAGCCGGTAAACGTGGGAGCATTTAAAGTGTTTACAGTAACTCGGGGGGAAATTAACCGAATTACTTTAAGTTTAAACGATTGATCAACACCGGATATATGCTGCTTTAACAGAATGACAAGTGAAAGGGAGACGGTTTCGGGATCTTGACAACTTCGGATGTAACGTTAGCTAACTTAGCTTAAAAAAAACACGTTAGCTCAATGCTAGTTGTTAGTTAACGGCTTCTCTTTGTCTGTTAATATCGTACCAGTTACCTAATGCGGTTATCAACAGGTTAGCATCGACATCACACCAAGCTAAAAGGCACGTACTCAAATTCATGCATGTAAGCCATTCAACGTGGCTCACATTACTGAATCAACTTTCGCTGACGACAATTAAAGCACTTGAACGCCTCAAATAAACACTGGGCATTAGCTTAACACAACCTAAATCAAGGTAAGTAACCTCATGTTCAGTTAGCTTCTGAAGTTACGTTTTGTTAAGCCTTGTATTGGGAACTGCTACTTTTTTATTTCCTCACCTGTTAAGGTTTGCATTAAAACATTAACTTGTTGACCTACTAATTTAAACAGGCTGTTATTGAGGATGGTCACAGCCGATGGAATAAAACATTTCTTACAGTCCTTTTTCCTGGCAATTGGTATCTTCAGTCTGCAGGAGAAAATGTATAAATTATTTCCTGTTTGCGAAATGATGACGATGTAATGTAGATCATAAGGAAGCACTGTTATCTTTTGCCATGACACTAAAAAACTGGCATTGATATGTGAATTAGAATGTCCTTTACGACATGATTCCAATACGATACGTTTAGTTAAGAGGCAAGCGCCACAAATGACAATAAAGCAACACATGCATGCTGTATGTAGAGTTTACATGTGGTTGAACCTGCTTCTGTTACAGGACCTGAATGGCCTCCGTTGTTGCAGTGAAAAGTGAGAAGCGACCTGCAGTTGATTCTCAGGATGCAGACTCAAATGCAAAAAAGCCCAGGTAAGCTCAGGTTCTGCTTTGGATACAGCTGCACTCTGCCCATGACTCATGCATCAGTTTTGTCTGCGGGGTTGGTTCAACAATTGTTTTTTTAAACCACTTCTACATACTGGAGGGTTTTAATTTCACACATCTTGTAACTCTGCTTAAACATTGTTTATTTAATGCTGTGCGGAAGGATTTGCGAAGCACCATCAGCATTAAATGCTTGCCTTCCTCAAAGGAAACTGCTTCCCAGCCTGAAGACCAAGCGGGCGCCAGAGCTCGTCTTGGTGATCGGCACAGGGGTGAGCTCTGCTGTGGCCCCTGAGGTTCCTGCTCTCCGGTCCTGGAAAGGCCTCATCCAGGCCCTGCTCGATGCTGCCAATGACTTTGACCTACTAGAGGAGGAGGAGAGCCGGCGCTTCCAGAAGCACATGCAGGAAGACAAGAATTTGGTCCATGTGGCTCATGACCTCATCCAGAAACTCTCACCGGTAAGACTCTATACCACGCTGTCCCATTTGTAGATACACACAGTAGACACTCTCTTACATCACTGTCATATCCATATTTTGTTTAAACTTCCATGGAAAGAGATAATACACCTTATCTCATTAAAACATCTACAGTTTAGCTAAGGACACAAGGCCTGTGTGTGAGACTTTTCTTCAATCGCATGCAATGAACAGGCTTGTATTTTTTTTTTTAATATATTATTGGTGTAGGATTAATAACAACCCTAGTTAAAGGTGGGGTAGGTAATTTTGGAGAAACCAGCTCGAGTGCGCTAGAATTTGAAAATACACAACCGGAAAAAATCTGCCACTTCCTTACAGAGCCCCTCCTCCAACACACGAACGCGCACATGAACAATGAGGGCACGAGATAAGTTTGTGCACAGATGGAAGGCTGACAGGCAGGTAGGCCATCCAGTTATTTTAGCCGGGCCGGCTAGAATGATTGGTCGTGCTTTTTACAGCGCTACGGCTTACACAGATGACATTTTTTTATGGATTTATTGTCAAAGCATTTAATATATTCATTGCTATCGGGATGTTAAGAGCATTCCATGGAATATAATAAAAAGTGTTTCTGAAATAAATTACATACCCCACCTTTAAAGGTAGGGCATGTAATTTTGGAGAAACCAGCTCGAGTGCGCTAGAATTTGAAACTACGCAGCCGAAAAAAAATCTGCCTCTTCCTTCAGACTTCCTTACAGAGCCCCTCCTCCAACACACACGAACGCGCACATGACCAATGAGGGCACGAGATAAGTTTGTGCACAGGTGGAAGGCTGACAGGCAGGTAGGCCATCCAGTTGTTTTAGCCGGGCCGGCTAAAGATAATTGGTCGTGCTTTTTACAGTACTACGGCTTCCACGGATACATTTTTAATGTATTTATTGTCAAAGCATTTAATATTTTCATTGCTATCGGGATGTTAAGAGCATTCCATGGAATATAACAAAAAGTGTTTCTGAAATAAATTACATACCCCACCTTTAAGGTTTACAGCAGTAAAATGGCTTTATATGCACCATCAAATCTTGATCCCCTTTTCATAGAAATAATTTTAAAACATTAACTTTAAACCAGAAGTTCATCACACCAAGAGTGCTAGGGTTTAATGCAGACAACTACAATTATAGGGTGACATGGGAAGTATAGCCACTTATGTTTGAGTGTCAACAGCAAACAGAAGCCTACATAATAAAAACAACTTCCACAAACTGTGTTTAGAGAGAGAGTGTCAACTTTTTAAAATGTTCCTCTTATTGACTCTATTGTCCTGTTCGTGGTGTCATATCATATCTCTTCCATATTACTCAGATGTCTACCTGTATTGAACTGGTGTGGTCTGGAGCAGGCTGGCAGATGGGAGCCTTATTACAGTTTGCCTCCTGTGTTAGTCATGTCTCATCGCACCATTGACATTGATAAAACACGCTTTGTTTCTTCCCTCCGCCTGTTATCACAACGGGAACAAGCAGTGCTTTTATGGCTTTATCCATCGTGTTTATTTCAATCCACAGTCGTGCAGACACCAGCTCAACGCGGTTGGCTACAGTCACAGCAGGATCTGGCATGCTGAGGGAAAAACAACAAGCATAGACTAATGTGAACCACCACAGATTTTCCATTCAGACAGACTTAAAGCAACACCCAAACAGGCAGGATAAGGTGAAATACGGAAGATTACATTCATTAGTAGTGATTCCATTCACTTAACACTTCTGCAAATATATCACTAGACCTGAGTTAATGATAAAATGTACTTATTTTATATAAACTATGACATGCATATGAATGTGTGAGAGACTTGCCTTTTAGTCTAGGTGAATTCTATTTACCGCTGGGAGAGTTTAACCCACTTTTCATGGAATTGTGTTTCAGACGGATTATGGTGTTTCAGATAATGAGGCTAATCTGAAGTGAAAACTAGTTTATTTTCTTGTAAATCCCCTCAAATGATTGACCTTGGCAAATAAAAGCCTAATAACAACTTTGTTGACAAGTTTATTTGCTTGATTTCAGGCCAGAAATATGAACTGTTATTTCCGCAGGGTTCAGTGGAGGAGGCATTTGATCGTCTGTTGATAACGGTTTATTTTTTCCATTTCAACTATCATTGTGAGAGGAGGTCTGTGGAAAAAGATTGAGTCTTTGTATCACTGTGTGATAGGACGTCCAGTAGCAAAAGTGGGAAAAGTCAGCACGTGTTACGGCTGTCACACTTATATTTATGCCTGTCAACAGTAGAACAATCCTAAGCTAGCATTCAACTTTGAGTCAAATATATTTCTGAACAATAATCTATTAGCATAAATATCGAAAAACCAGAGTTGTTTACTTGCATTTCATTTGGTTATTGCATAAGTCTTGAGTCAGTCCAAGGACACGGTGATTAGGGCGGGTTCTGTAGACACTAGATGTGGATAATGAGCTTCTTCCTGTGGAAAGGACTCCCACTAGTTAGCCCATTAGAGCTGTAATCTCTGAAAGTCAGTGGAGCATTTCCTTGTGCTAGGATTACCTTAGTCCCTGCACCACCACACTACAGTGCTATTCTTAGTTGCCTGTCTCTATGCCTCTTTTTTTTGGCTCTGCCAGGTAAAGGTGAGGTTGAGGCGCCGTTTACACGAGGAGAAAACTGCTTGTATCTGCATAGTTTCGCGTGCGTATAGCCCTATTATTTACACGAGGCCGATAGAAACTGACCCCACAAACGATAACGGGTTCCAAGGTGGATAGATTTGCAAACGAAACGCTCTGGGGGGTCAACCGAGTCCGTGTAATCACCTCTATACGAATATTTCCTGAAAAAATAGCGAAAAAAAAAAAAAATAGCACCTCTCCTGCTCACTGCTGTAGCAACTATCAAAAATAGCTGTGTTAATTAAACGCACAAGGGGTTCTTGAATGAAATAATATTATAAAAGGCAAACCAGAATAGTTAACGCCCAATATACTCCTTAAACAAAATAAACAGTCAGATTTCATGCATTGATCCATTATATTGACAAAGGTGCATCTCACCCGGTGTTTGTAGAGAATATCTCTCTTTTCTGAGCGGGTCCTCTCCACGGAGACGTCGGGTCGATGCAATATCCACAGATTCGGTTTCTTTCAGTTAACTTCCCCGTTGCATTTATCCATATGCTGAGGAAATTACTATATCCCGCTGAATACCAGCAATCACCACACACACTTCCTCCTGTCAGTAGCTACTGCTAGTGCTACTGCTACTGCTACTGACCATGCTACAGATATTAGTGCAAAAATATACAGCTCCTCTACCACAACCATCAGCAACAAGTGGACATGGAGAATTACATGAACTACATGTTGCTAAATACACGGCGGGGCATGAACAGAAGGGTAGCCATGGCAACATTGCGGCTGGGGCTGCTCTTCTTCGCTGCTTTTGGTGTATTTTGGCGGAAGTTACAGCGCCACTTACAGTCCCGGCATATGTACTACAGCGTTTCCAGCGGCCTCGTTTGAACAGACACGTTAAATGAAACAAATGCATGTGAACGGAAGACTTTTTTGAATACGCATACTGTGCATAAACGCAAACGGTCCCGTGTGAGCGGGCCTTTAGACCCAGCCTATAATCTCTTATCAGGCTCAGGTGATGTGTGAGATGCTACTTGAAGAGCTGTGGATAGGATCAGAGAGCTACATGGTGTGTTTGTACAGGACATGGTTGCACTTGAGTAGGTATTTTGAAAAACAGGCTCACACTTGACACCTGAAGTCTCACTTGAGTTGGCACCTGTGGCAGTGCAAAGGGGGGGTCTGGGTGAAAATCAAATGACTACGAGCAGGTTTACATGACTATACGAGTCAACTAGTAAACATGTTTAAGTGAAGTAAATAGAGATAGGAGATTCGATTGGTTCTTTAACCATTAAAAAATCTGCTGTCTGTCTTTAAGGGGAAGTTACACTACTGTGGCTTTAATTTGTTATTTCATTTCTCTAGTGTTATTATTCTGTGGTTCCACCCATTTTAGAAGCAGCTCAAAAACAGACACTGTCATTCAGCTGTTGCTCAAACTGGCCTAAAATGAACATGATTATTTATAAGACACACGTGGTCAGGTCACATGGTATAACACCGTCTACTCAAGAGTCCAATCCTATTAAAAGGCTGCTTGTTGTAGGTTTGTGAAAGCATGCTTGATATCTTTGCAATTTGACACTTGCCGACTGGTATTTATATATGTTTTCCCAGCAAGTCAGTGCAGTCATTTGGAACATGTTTAACATGCCATTTCCTAGTGAATATGAACATGTCAAACACTGAGTCAGGGGTTGAGTTCCTCGTAGGGCCCACTCAAACAAAAAATGTGTGCTAGAGTTCAAACACGTTTTTATAATATGAGAAATAAAATATGTCAACATAACATTTTATTCTCTTTTTTGTTTCCTTTAAAGGTTATTTTATGAGAAGAGTTTGCAGAAGTCGTGATTTTCAGTCAGTACCATAGGACAGTTCACACAGCATCTTAAGGTTTTTAATCTATATTTCCATCTTGGGAGTTCAGATGTTTAACTACTATTTGTCCATTCTTGAGTTAAGACCTCACAAATCAATGGGTTTGTGTGGACACTTTGTACAATATTTTCTATTGTGAGAAGACAGTGGTTGGTGTAGTAATGCTGTCATACCTTACAGCAAAATACTTCAGAACCATGTGCACTTTAGCCTCAGTATCTGTGCCCCAAGGATCAATATGTCTTTTTTTCATTGCACGAGTTCTCCTTCTAGATCACAGTGCTGCTCATTGTTTGCTAAATGTCCCCTTCCCGCTGTTATCGTACTGCGTGCAGTGCTGTTTAAAGGAGCTTAGCGGAGAATTGATCATCAAGATTAAGGAGGTAGACACCTGGTGTGGCTGTTTGTCTTGAGCACATCTTGCTCTGTATAAAGTCTTGTTTTCATTGCGTATCAAAACGTACTGTGTGTGGGGGAAACTTCTGTGTAGCAATTAGAGATGCCAGCGATTATTCGATTTTTCGAATATTCGTTACAGTCTCCATAATCGAAAATTATTTTTAAAATTCGATTTTATTTATATATATTTTTATTATTATTTATGTTTTTCTTTTTTTCCATGGCTTAGTTTCAACCAAAATATAGACTAATGCTAATAATAGTAATAGTATTAATAATTGTAAATGGCCATTGGTCACACCACCAGTTTGTTTTACTGTAAACTTGGAGGAAGCCAGCAGCGCAGACTGCGCAGAGTGCAGACTGCTGCTGCCTGCTGCAGCCTGCTACACACCGACCCCCCCCCCCCCCCCCCCCCCCTTCTCCGTCACACGTGCGATTGATTTATTGGCGATATACAGAACAGTGAGAACAACACAACTAAAGATGAACAGAGAAGAGTTCCTCGTGGAACTACTGGAAGTGCAAATTAAGTCAAATGCAAGCTCTGCGAAAATACTTTTTTTTTTGTCTCCCGCGAGGGGGGGGGGTCGGCGAATAATCGATTAATATTCGCCAGGGCTGTCCGATTTTCGAATTTGATCATGGTCAGTTTCTGGCATCCCTAGTAGCAATGCAGGAGGAGTCACCGACTCAGGAAGGAGACGCGGGGAGAGCTGGAGCTTTGATGTGAAACACTGATGGTTTATTTAGGAGCTTCGGCCGGAGAATTCACAAAACAAGTCCAAGAGCCAGAGGTTCTAACTTCACGGTAGAGTTGCCACGTCAATTTTGAAGAACTCTACCCCAGACCCATGTATTTAGCTAGTTCAGAGAGAGTAATCCACATTGTGCATAACAAGATAGAATCATAACACCTCTATCAGCTGACGCCAACAGGCAGGAACAGGGAGACAAAACACTGAGAGCACAGCAGCCAAGGTTACAGGTGCCTGTGCTCAGTCAGGACAGTATGAACTGATAAACTGGGTTACAGTTATGGGCCTTGGAAAATATTTCCCCAACACCGTGAAACTTATTTGTCAAGGTATCTTTCTTCAGTTATATCACATCTTATCCCTGTATTTTCAAACTACAAAACCGCTTGCACACTCGACAAATGTATACATGTACTAAAATAACTACGATTTAGCTGTAACCCTGCTAAAAACTCAATTAATGCTCCCATTTTCTGTCTTTTTTTTTTCCTTCCTTTTTTACAAACAAAAAGCAATGTACAATCCATGTTCCTTGTGCAGTACCCCGGCAAAAAAACCTAATTAATCCCTGCATTTCCTGTCTTGTTTTCATACAGAGAACAGGGAATGTACGATCCACGTTCTTCAAGGACTGTCTTTACGAGGTGTTTGACGATTTGGAGTGTAAGATGGAGCACGCAGGGAAGCATCTACTGCGCTCGGTGCTGCAGTTGATGGAGAGCGGGGCGCTGGTGCTCACCACTAACTTCGACAACCTGTTGGAGATCTACGCAGCCCACCAGGGTACGAAGCTGGAGTCTCTGGACCTGACAGACGAGAAGAAGGTAAACAGTTTCCCATCGTGATCAGCCATTGATTGATCTTTCCTGCCTCAATCAGCTTTTTCAAATGAGTGCAAAGGTCACTGAAGCAAGGTGCTTATGTTATGCTCAGACTTTGGGAGTTTGTTTATATAGATTTTGCTGATTATTTTAAATGAAATCCCAAGTAAAGTGTGACAGGTGATTGTGGTTGGAATCACTTGCACAGTCAAAAACAAAACAAAAACATTACTTGAATGAAGTTTTGAACAAGAGTTAATCCTTTGACCTGAAACGGCCTTTTTATCTCCGACAGGTGGAGGAAGGTTAAAGTTCTAACCATTTATCAGCTGCTGTCCAATTTTATAGATTGATCAATATTTGCTTTTGGTTTAAGACTTGGCTGAACAAGAAGTGTGTTTGCCAAAATAAACCGGTTTGTTCCACTTCGGACAAGTTTCTCTGCCAAAAGCCAATCATTCAATGATGAAATTGACCTCCCAGCTCATTAGAGTTAGTTTTTTTTGTTATACAAAACACAAATGGGCAAGAGTTGGTTGGAGGCTTCTGAGAGACATGTTTGCTTTGCCTCTCAGTCCTGGTATTTATGCCTCCTCTCCATCAGGGCTAATATCCTCTAACTGCTGTTCAGTGATTTTACTCCCAGCCCAGCCAGAACAGGATTGAGTGCAATGGACTGTTAAGTGTGTGTTTGTGTGTCTAGGTGTTGGAGTGGGCTCAGGAGAAACGGAGGTTAAGTGTTCTGCATATCCACGGGGTTTACACAAACCCCAGTGGTATCGTGCTGCACCCTGCAGGCTACCAGAATGTACTGAGGAACACAGAAGTTATGGTGAGATCTGAAAGTGTTCACTGTAGAGTGCTGCAGGGATGGTGTGTTGATGTAGGCCGAGCCAGAAAGTAGCAGAGCAAAGAGTCCCTCCACAAAAAAGACCATTTGAATTTTCTATTGGCTTTTTAGATTAAACCAGAAAATAAGCTCTGTGGTAACAACGTTTATGAAATTTACATATTCTTTTCAAAAAGTCGATTTTAAAATATTAACACCACTTCTATGGTTTTTGAAGCATTAATACGATCAACAAAAACAAAAAGCAAACGGTAGGCTATAAACAAACTACAGGTTGCATCACATCACCACCGCTAAAGTTTCTAAAGCTAAAGGTGCACTCGTGTTCCATGTAATAACATTAAGTAGTCTCGTTCGATATTGCTTTACGATCAACAGCCATTTTCATGACACACAAAAGCTTCACACACTCGCCAGGGAAACTGTTATTTAGTTATGGATTTTAAGCTGTAGAACAAAACTTGAAAATCTCATAAACTACCACAGATTATTTCAGCCACCTTTCAAAAAACCATTGACTTTGAGACAAGCACACTGAAAGTGCCAAAATGCTAACTAATTTCCGTGTTTTAGGACTCATTCCTGCACCACTCTATAGGTCATGTTTCCCACTAAGTACATGAAGTGTAAATGACCAAAATTGCTTCTGTCTGCATACTTTTTTGTTTTTCATGTTTTTGAAATGGTAGCTTTTGCGTAAGTGTAATAATAAAATACTACCGCTGGTCTCAACAGCGTGAGATCCAGAAGCTGTATGAGACCAAATCCTTTGTGTTTCTGGGCTGCGGGCGCACAGTGGACGACACCACCTTCCAGGCTCTGTTCCTGGAGGCCGTGAAACACAAGTCGGACCTGGAACACTTCATGCTCGTACGACGAGAGGACGTGGGCGAGTTCAAGAAGCTGCGTGACAACATGCTCGACAAGGGCATCAAGGTCATCTCCTATGGAGACGAGTATGCCGACCTGCCAGAGTACTTCGAGAGGCTGGCCAATGAGATCTGCAGCCGGGACGTGGTTACTAACGGATGGGGTAAGGACTATTAAAATACATTTTGCAGATTTGTTTATGGAATATATTGTCGTCTCGTTTCTGACGTTGTGTTGAGTGATGTATTTTTGAAGGCTGACTTGGATGTAAGCGCTCCTTTTTAAGAAAAAAACAATGGGATTTATCCATTGGATTTTTGAATATTGCAGAAAATAAATGTTTGATACCGACACATTTAGTTAGGCAGGATCATTCCCACATATTAACACCACTTTAGTTATAATGGAAGTGTAAATGTAGTAATCAGCCAACGTGACACTATAAACAAACATTGCAGTCGCACAACTTCACGTCACCGCCTCTAAGCTAAAGGCAGACCCGTGTTCGCCGTGATGGCGTTCGTAGTCTTGTAGACTCTTATATTATCTAAAAATGACATCGAGATGAGGGCCCTAACAAATGTCCATTGTGACGACTCATTACTGCACCACTCTATGGGAAAAGAACATTTGGGATTTATCACATTTCACTTTAAAATGCGTTTTTTTTTTTTTTTATCTTTCTCAGCAGGGTCTCCTGCACTAAATGGGGAAGAACAGCAGAACGGATTTAACGGCACACAGAAAAGCCTCCTTCAAGGTTAGGACTAAATGATTCTCTTTGACTTCACACAGTGGCCACTGGCGGGGACATTTCAAGAATAAAAAAAATGTGAAAGGCTTGTTTTCTTGCTGCATGCTGGTAGATAGAAAATTCAACTCTGTTTTGAATTTTCAGTATCAAAAGACCTGCTGGTATCCCTTTACACAAACACACATCTGACTTTGCAGTATTGCATGCATGGCACTCGCTGGTAGATACTCTGTTTCTCAAATGCTCACTTAAGTCCCTTCCTTCTCTTTTTGCCCCAGACCATCATTGTTGACAGGCACACAGTCGGGATCAGTATCAGTCATTTTCCTCCACAGCTCCGTCGTGAGATCAGGCTCCTTTGGGTAGCACAAGTCTGATTTCAATCAATGGATTTATGGGTGATGGGAGACCTAAAAACTGTTGACAGTGTCTCACAGGTGTCTGTGATTTTCTTTATTATTATTATTGGTTTAAAAAGGGAAAAGGAAGTTTAAAGTAACTGCCAATACTCAACCTCACAGTTGAGCAGAACTGTTATGAAATGTTGCTCAATATTTGGAGAGCTGCAGTAAAAAGAAACGTTACAAAATGGTGATTGGTGATGAATGTTTTGTTCTTTTTGAATGTGACAAATCGTAGATCCACTGACAGATGTTCACATTGCTGCGTCGATTGGATTTGGGTTACAAATATGCAAACAATCCGCAACACATTGACCTAACCGACCTGTAAGAGGAGTTGTAGCCGCAGACATTAACGCACATCACATGCTCTTAACCAATAGAAATGCTGTGTTGATGTACAAGTATTGTTTCTGTCCCTGAAACCAGTAAAACTTGACTTGCACACTGCTGGATGGGTGGAAATACTTATCACAGTGATGGATGGCTTACTTGCAAATACATTGTTAAAATCCTTTTCTAAAAATAAAAGTCTTCATAGCAGAGATGCTCCCAGTCTGTTTCAATCACTTTGCCACTCCTCTGCTATGTTCTTTGTAAGCCTTTTTTTGTAATTTGTAATACTATAATAGTTTTCTGACATAGTATTTATAAGTATTATTTTCCACAATAAAGCTTTTGGTATCCCATTTGTCTTCTCATTTTTCATCATACTGGAGCCGTCTGTATTGGTTCACGCGACATAAGACAGAAAAAGTTCCACTGGCTGTTATAGCATATAGCAGCTTTATTTAGAAATGTTTACATTCTCATAAATTAGCTCAAATTGTCAATTCTCTCATATTGCACTACTGCAAATTAAAGGGAGGGGGGGGCTAGAGATTTTTAAGACTTATATTTCCTCTTACAAGAAGAAGTAAATCAGAGGGGGGGAAACATAAATAAGAAGGCGTGTATAACTTCAACAGACCACACAAGTCTGAAAATCAATGGGAAAACCTCTACAGAGATAAAATACAAAATATATTTTTCATCATTTATGAACTGAGGAATCAATGTGTCCATTTAGTCATTAAAATGTTAGGTGGGTAAAGAGCTCTGGGAGATAACTTTCATAGAACAATCAGTCCAGAACTATTGTACCGCAGCTGCTAGTTGTGATTTCCATTTTTGACAGAGTACAACATCTACTAACTTCACAAGTTCTGATATCCATGCACACCATCTGTATGTTGTACAGAACGAGACCCCTCTGGATGGTGGTTTCTGACTGCCATTGTTATATTAATTTACACCACCCCCCATGTAGTGAAAGTGGTAACTAAAGAGACAGATAGGCACTATGGTCACTAAGCTTTCCTCAGGCACAGGCAGCTGCTGAAATGTCACGTCAACAAGCCTTCACGACCTGACCTCATTTACATGAAGCGGGGAAAACTGACTGACAAAACGCCAGGTAAAGTTTAATTTTTTCTTTACTGAATTACGCAGTAAACTGATGACATTTTACAGCCGAGGTCCATTTAGAATGTCACTTGGATGGGACCATTGTTTTAGCTTTTTATTATCGGCCCGAAAGTTTAGAATTACTCATGGAGAGGCCCCTCTGGATTTGTTGCAAAAATGTTCCGTCTTTCAATGTGCACACTTTACCGGGAAAATAAAGTCCTGTGCATGACATGAGTTCATTTGGTGCAAAGTAGAGAGAGGGGATGACGAACGCAGGTTAGCAGGGGTGGACATCTCACGGCTGTGGCAGAAAGGTTTTTGTTGGCGTTGTTGCGACGATGAGTTACACAGTGGATCATGCAGCCTCTCAGGCCTTCATCAGGGCGCTGACCACGGCGCGGGCGTTCAGGCTGCGCAGGTCGTTGTAGGTCTGCCCGGTGCCCACAAACACAATGGGCTGGCCTGTGATGTAAGTCATGGAGATGGCAGCACCCACCTGTGAAGGAGGAAGGATGACACATGAGTGTGACACTTTAAAAACTTCACACACATCACATGGTTAAAGCCAGATAGAAATAGTTTTGCAGTAATGAGTCAGAATTGTACCACTTCCGATTCCACTTTAAAAAAGGCTTTTGGTCTGTGGTTTACACAAGCTGAACAGATTTTCACATTGTGTTATACATCAGTAAATACCCAACTCTTAAATGCCCAAAGCTCCTATGTGTCATAGAAACAGCAGTTGCTAGCAAATGACTAAAAGACACTACTAAATGTCATCACGCTGAAAATTAGACGCCTTTAGCCTAGCGGTGTTGACGTGCAGCCATGATGCAGTTTGTTTATAACATAACATGAGCTTTTTACTTCTGCCGATCGCGTTCACGCTTCAAGAATTAAAGTGGTGTTAATATGTGGAGACTATCCTGCTGAACAAACGTGTAAGTATCATAAACGTGTGTTTGCCACAAAGCTTATATACTGCAATATTGCACTTTTTTTGTTGAGGGAGCTCTTGTGAAGTAACTTACAGGTCAGTCTACAAATCTCCATTATCACATACCTTGTCATCGATGGTGTCAAACTTAGTGAGAACAATCCCATCAATGAGGCGAGGCTTTTCAGACATGGAGTGGTCGGCCAGAGCCTGGTTGAACTTAACCTGAAGACACGGGGAAAGGAAAAATGAGTCTCTCGTGGAAAAACTGGTGACAGCTGAGTAAACATCTGTCCACATGATAACAGATGACTGGAGCAACACTGCCCTCTGCTGGAGAGTTTTTAAAAAAGCAACACGAAAACGAACCTGTTAGATAAGTGCACGTTTTGTTCAGCCGGATAATATCCACATGTCTACCCTACTTTACAAAACGTGCATTTATCAAACAGGTTTGTTTTCCAAAGACCTTATTTCGAGCTATTTTCCAAATACTAAAGCACCACTCTTAGTGTTGTTGATTAAGGGTGAGCTGAAACTAAGCCTTCAGTCTGTGCATGAAACTAAATCTAACGTAATAAAGGGAATTAATATACTGCTTTCCACATTTTAATCCAACGTGTGTGTTCTTACCAGCTGGTCAACTGCCTCATTGCCAACCAGAGCCTCTCCAACAAACAGTACTAGGTCGGGCATGTTGATCGCGATGAGTTTGGCCAGCGCTGTCATCAGGGGCGTGTTGTCCTGCATACGCCCAGCAGTGTCCACCAGCACCACGTCGAAAGTCTGGTTGCGGGCTGAAGAGTTGGAGTACATGTTATTTGACCATTTAGGTGGCATTCATGCTTAATGGGAATGGCATGTGAAATCAACAAGGAACAAAAGCTTAACAGCTAGGAATACAGAAGCGTAATTTATCAAAATCGCAAAATGGGCTAGTCCATATTTTAAAGGCTAAATAAGTGTTAAATTATGAATGTATTTTGGAGCTGCAGAGATATCCTGGCCATTTACTTCAGACTTAACAAAATAAAATACACCTTGATCAGATTAACATATATATCCAATGATAATAAAAGTAATCTTGCAAAAGAAATTAATCCTTCCAATACTGTGAAGCATAACAAAAGGATAATCGCAATTTGTTATTCATCCAAATTGTTAGGAAATAGATATTTTACCATAGGCAATGGCCTCCATGGCGATCCCAGCAGCATCCTTCCCGTAGCCCTTCTCATAGAGCTGGACCACGGGGCGGCCCCCGTGCTGCTCGGGGGGGTGCAGAGAGTTCAGGCGGCGCTGGTGAGTGCGCAGCTGCTCCACGGCTCCGGCTCGGAACGTGTCACAGGCCGCGATCAGCACAGTGAAACCGTTCTCTATCAGCCAGAAGGAGATCTGGAGGAACAGGGGTTAGATTTACATGAACATGTGTGGGGACACAGTGTGGGACACAGTGTGGGCACGTTTCAATGCAACAAATGAACGCTGAAGAAAATATGGCTACAACTTGCGCTGCGAAAAAAATACAATAATCAATTCACTTTTTTCACAGAAGACAATTTGAATTCAGGGTTGTAAGAAATGTAAGGTTGTTTTAAATGCTTAATGATGCTGAATATACTTTAAGTAACCAGAAGGATAGTGATATTTAAGCCAGAAGAGATATGGAATTCCTTTGTGTGCATTAGTTAAGTTTCATTTTTGTATTCCTAATCTTAATACTATATATCAAATATCACTTTAACAACATCAGTTTCCAAAAATAAATGCAAAAAAGGAACAAAAACTGCAAAAACGTTTTTTGTTCCTCCTGAAGCTTCCGGCATGACAAGTTAAAATGACTGCTATCGAAAAGCAAAAAGCATATGACTGCACATGACCTATAATATTAAGTTATTTAATATCATAGCATTATACTTATCTCCTTGACATAATTCGGAAATTATTTAAGTATTCACTTTAGTGTGGTTTACCTGTAGGCCATCAACAATGATTGAACACTACACTAGTATATCTGGGTTAAAACAGCTATTTGAATCCACTGTGTTATGCACGTTAACAATTTCCCAAACTGAATTGGGATTTTGTTATGCTGTTTATTTGTAATTAACATAATTACTATGTCATCTAAAGGGAACACCCAAGAGCCTCCAAGTGCTCTTGGGTGTTCCCTTTAGATGGCAGGCATGTTTAAACATGTTCTCCTAACATAGAGATTGACATGACCTCTTACAAAACAATGCCAAACCTACCCAGTAAACCCCTGAGCCTAGAACTAGTTATCTGTGTCAGCAAACATAGAGGCTCCTACAGGAAATGGTCTAATTGGAGTAATTACCCTTCTAACACTGAAAACTCACCTTGGCCAGGTTGGTGGACTTCCCCACCCCGTTGACCCCACAGAAAGTGATGACAAAAGGCCTCCGCTGGCTCTGCGCATCCATCACATCTCTCAGAATATCCACCCTCCGCTTGGGCTGCAGGATCTGCACCAGAGAGCCCTGCAAGGCCTGCTTTACAGTAGAGGCCACAGCTACACAGAAACACACACACATTAAAGTTGTGCTTAGATCCCCCCTTCATATTTAGTGACACAAACTATATCATATAGTTATACTACATAATTATAGTTCGGCTGAGGTGAGAGCACCAGAGAGGGGAAAGTTCCGGTTTTAATCCATTTACTGCAGTAATCATCAAGACGATTATGTGGAGCACCATTACTGTAATCACATTACTTTTCCCAGCATGGTGCGCTCAGAGAAGGACACGTACATTGCATTGAAACTAAATGATTTTTAAAGGAAGTGGGGAGAGGATGGTGAGAAGGTTACTTACTGGTGAATGTGCCCATGACTTTGCCCTCCAGTTTGATGGCTACAGAGTCACAGAGCTTGGAGGAGATGTCGGCTGCTACATTCTTTGCTATAGGATTATGAGAAGAATGAATAACAGAAAAGTTCATTTTAAATGTTGAAGAAAAGGAAAGGGGCAATTGAGAGATATGTGATGTCGTACCGATGAGGTGGTCCTTCATCTTCTCCAGAACTGGCTCCATGTCCTCCCGGGTCAGGCTCTTGGAGCCCACGAGGCCCTTGAGCATCCCGAACATGCCCCCAAAACCGCCACTCTTCTTGGAGCTGAAAAACAAAAGAATTTACTATTATTTATATTGATTTTATTTCTAACTTGAATAGTTTATTGATTGTTTTTTCTCTTGCGGTAGTTAGAGAAGACATCCTTTGGGATTAGTTAAGGCATTGTTTCTATTTTATTTATACTGTTTGGACAGATGAGTTTG